GAATAAAATCTTGTCTATTATAATAACAGCAAAAGTTAACTTTATGAACTCAATATAATTAATTTAAAAATGTACATATTATAATTTTACACAATTTATTTAAATTGTTAAGAGCCTTAGTTAAAACAAGTCTTATTTTTTTAAATTACCACAAAAACAATCATAAAACATTTTAACTTATGACGACCACAATATAACAGTACAACACAAAAACTGATAAAATAACAATACATAATTTAGTTATACTGATAAACGTATACCGAAACAAATATAATCTTTCTATGATTTTCCGAATTGAAGCTTGTATTCCGTTACGTTTTCAAAGCATATGTTAACTAACTCGGATTTGCGGTTTATACTGAGAAAGTTTATTGTATCAGATGAATAAATGGAGAAATTAATCACCCACACGAGCTTTCAGAGATCGCTGAACTTCGAACAATACATCTTAATTTACTATCCAATTCACCACCCTAAACGAAAATCAAAAGAACAGGTCGCCATTTTCAGTTCAACCGTTTAAATCGATCCTTAAATCCTATTCGTTTTACTGTTAAATAAAAGAAGATTATTTAAATAATATTTATTCTTCCTTTTTTAAATTTAGTATTTTTAGTATCTAATTAAAAATACATTTAGTTTTTATTTGAAATTACAATTTTATGAGACATTACGTATATGTGATATTTTCACTGAGGAAATTCATGCTATTCAGAAACTATAATTCATACTATTTCTTACTCTACTAATTAATATAAAGTGGTACTTGGAGCTGAAGAACAAGAGACCTTCTGAAATCAGCTGGTTGTGATCAAGCAAGACGGCGTATTTACGTTACTATTAGGCTTGGTTTATAATAACACTGAATCAATTTTCGGATCAGATTTAGTTAGATAGCTGCAAGGGACGTTAGTCGAAGGTGTCGAACCTGACTGGCTGCTGAATCATGGCCTATACAAATTCCACGACTCAGCAGCCAATCAGGTACGATAACGACGCGTGACGTTGCTTGCAGGTACTCACTTACTAAAATTACAAATAAAAATCTCCGTAGTATCACTAGACAATCAAGATTAAGTTTTGTATGCTTATAGGATTTTACTTCTTCAGATTTGTTGTATTTTGCGTAAACATAGTTTGGTATCAAAAAAATTTCTTTTTCAAATTGAATAAGTAACAATAAAGAAGGAACATTACAATGCTACACTGAAGACATCTCCAGAGCAACTGAATGACTATTGATATAGAAATCACAGGTATTCATCTCATACAACAACGCCCCCTATAGTTCGTTGCGATCACGAATTGCATTCATGATTGTGAGCAGAATTTTCTTTAAATTCTCCTGCACCAAAACACCACATCCAACAGTTTAATTATTTATTATTAGAAGTATGCGTATAAAATAAATGTCAGTATAAAGTATCAGCCTTTTTTTGTATTTTTAGTTGCAGAATAGATATCACAAATTAGAAAAGGATATCATGAAAGTAAATCCTTGGTTGCAATGGGATTTGAGTGTGTTATCGTTTGACAGGCGAGACCACCAAGCGATATTACATCAAATGGCTCCACATCGAAGGATTATAAAGCCATCAATACATATTTTTTTTACTATTTATACACAATAATGCGAAAATCGTTATAGTAAACATTAAGCAAAATTACACAATAATTATAATAATAAGAAGAAATGCAATAGTCTGTAAATGTTGCCCTGCTTCACTTCAGCATATTGACGACCAGGACAGAGATTCATTTGATTGACAATGAAGATTATTTGTGGATGATATAATCATTTAAAATTCATCCCACTCTCATGCACATTTCATCTGCTAAAATATTAAAAAGCATAGCTTTTGATAAAACAAAAAAACTTTCGTTAAATTTTCGTTTTCCAGTTGTTCCAACCTTAATATGTCGGTGACAATTCTCTTTTACTTTTCAGTGAGTCCCACATTACATTTAAGAAAAGCTTTAATGGTCAATAAGTGTTCAAAAATATAATTAAATCAATTTGCTTATTTCGTTCTCATTAAAAGTAAACTCTGTAAGTCAAAACCGTCCCAATAATGGCGAATATATTATTTCTTTTAAAGTATATCATTCCGTATTCAGACAATGACAATTAAGGTCATTCCAGCAAATCTCTCACAAAATTGAATGTTTCGGCTCGGTGCCCAGTTAAACTTGAGGTGACAAGCAATTATATTTCAGAATTTGAATGGTTAAGAACGTTAAAAAATTGCAATTAGATCAATTTGTTTATTTTGCACTCATTAAAAGCAAGCTATAAATCAAAGCTGTCCCAATGATAGCGAATATAGTATTTCTCTTAAAGTATATCATTCCGCATCCAGACAATGACAATTTAGATCATTCCAGCAAATCTCTCACTAAACTGAACGTTTCGGTTCGGTGCCCAGTTAAACTTGAGCCAACAAGGAGATATGATCGCTTTTCAATTAGTTTCCAGAATTCAAATGGGTAGGAATGTTGAAATATATAATTAAATCAATTTGCTTATATCGTGTTCATGAAAAGTGAATTATAAGTCAAAACTGTCCCAATAAGGACGAATATATTTCTTGTAACGTATATAAACTCGTATCCAGGCAATGACAATTCAGATCTTTCCGGAAAATCTCTCACCAAATTGAACGTTTCAGATCGGTGCCCAGTTAAAGTTGAGGCGACGAGCAATTAGTTTCCAGAATTTGAATGGTTAGGAACGTTAAAAAATTTAAATTATATCAACTTGCTTAATTTGTACTCATTAAAAGCAAGCTACAAGTCAAAACTGTCCCAATGATGGCCAATATTGTATTTCTTTTGAAGTATATCATTCCGTATCCAGATAGTGACAATTTAGGTCTTTCCAGCAAATCTCTCACCAAATTAAACGTTTCGGCTCTGTACCAGGTGAAATCTGAGTCAACAAAGAGATATGATCGTTTTTCAATTAGTTTCCAGAACTCGAATTGGAATTGTTTTAAGCTGTTTACGATTTCACTTCCGTTCCAAATTATTATGAACAAATTAGCTAGTGCAATGGAAATGTAAGATGAGAAATCGAAAATCCAAATCAGGCTCGTTGAACTAATGTCCTTAATCGTTATCAGTCCCACGACACTAAAGCATGCCCAAAAGTTCGCAGAACAAACAAAAAACATCGGCAGTGAGAATGCGGCTTCAAAGTCGCATATATCATACGCGATTTCAGATTTTTGTATCAATAAACTCATCTGCTTATATTTTCCGAATGTCTCAGGAATTTCCGATTTTAATTTCTTTCTCAGTTCCTGTATTTTTGATAAAAAGGAACGGCAAAATTTGATGTAATATAGCAATGTTAATAGACAGGACCCTAGAGGAAATACAGAATTCCAGAAAAATATTTTTATGTATATTAAAACAAACCACCAATTTGAATTTAGTGGATGTCCGTAAATGTATAAAGATACATCTTCGGGAGTTAACCCACAGAAGGAATACACGAAACAGAAAACAAATGCTATCAAAATTGTATATTTAGATGTGTAAGTATGATAAATTTTTTCTTGTTTCATTAAAGAAATAACAAGCTCTCTTTTCCTTGTAATATCTACAAATGCAAAGAAGCTTGATAAAATGGCAAAAAACATTATAATTCCACCTTTCCATGTAGGGGTTTTATAAATAATTTGAAAATAAATTATTACAACAAAATCAATTAAGTTGATGAGGACACAAATAATAAAAATTTTCCAACTTGTTTTCTTTAAGCAGTTTTTACTATTATTGAAGGAAAAGTATCCAGAAAGGGAAGAATCCTTTTTATAAAACATCATACTTCACACAGTTCTTACTCCTATTTACGATATAATTTAAGAAGCAAATGTTTAAAATAATTGATGGTCATGAGCTCTAGCACATTTTATGTATTATAGCGCAGAAATTATTTATGACTACTTTTTGCGCACTTAGCTTAGTAAAGCGATATAGAACTGCTAGGAAAAGAACTCTATTTTATGAAATCTTTCAAGATAAAAGGGTTTTCAAGTTACATTTTCATTAAAGCAATTGAATGCATTGATTCTTTCTGTATTTTTCACTATATTAATAATCAAATTTGAAATATATAGAAAATGTTCAATTAAATATCTCCATTTTTCTTTTTTTTCCCATTTTCTTCTTTTTTTTGATGAAATTATAGATTATTATTTAAATAAACATGCGCAAAGAATGCATGCTATTGTCTTAAAAACTTTTCATGAAATTCAATAATAATTTAGATTTTTGTTTTATTAGTACTCTCCATTAAAACTTCCAAAAACGTGTCTAAAATACATTTATTGAACTTCAATAATTATATTTTCTAAGCATTTCTAGGATAATAAGTATCAACAATTTATTATAACACTTACAAAGCATCTTTTTAATTAAAATTTTTTTTGTATCAATTTTCGTAATTTAACTGATATTTATCACATAATTGAGTCTTTTCTGGTATTCTCGTAGGTAATCAATTGATCAAATGTTATTCATAGTGCGACATTGTGTTTTTTTCTTTATCTTTAACCATTTTTTATAGATGTAGTATATTGACAAAATTAAAACTAACTCATTTCTGCTTTAAGACTCCTGTTTTTCATAACTTTTTCGATTTCAAGATTTATAAAACTATTTCTTATATATTTCAAAATATTTTAAAATTATTCGCATACTGAATTCCTATTATTGATGTTAAAATGTAGAGTTTTTTTCTTCTCAATTTCACTCACTCTCACTTTCTTTACTATAATGATTGGTTATTAATATAATTTTTAATTCTTCAATATATTTCTTTAATATCAGTTTTCTTATTGTATTTTTTTTTTTTAAAAATCGTTTCCCACCCCAATTATTCTCAAAGTATAATCTAATAAATTTTATCATATATCAGTTAGAGATACTTTTTTTCGTTAAATGCTCGCACCATTTTTTTTGTACATACATGCATATTAAATGTATTTTTTTCTTTCCTCACTTGTATTGCAGGTGAAAAAGAAAATAATGTCATTACTAGAGCTGTACTTGAATTCCACAATGTATCCTGTGTCCGGTTCATTTCAAGGACAAATGAAGAAGATTTTATCCACATTTCTAGAGAAGGAGGGTAATTTTCTCCTTATATGAATACAATAACATTATTGTTCTAATGATTAAGTTTGATCACAATAGTTCCCAATCTTTCTGCCAGTACCGCATCCTAGAGTCTCTGTATCTAACGTATTCAGAAAGTAATTGCAAGCGGGAGAAGTCTGTTATTGGTTTAGGTAAAATTTTACCGAGAAGATACGGAACAAAAATTTCTTCAGTTACTAGACATGAAGAGAACTCAAAGTATCTTTATTCAACGGCATTTCAAAAATTCTTTTTTAAAAATTAATCTTAACCTTTCAATGTAATTATTGTACTAAGCAACAATGTTAAACAACCATTTATTTCGAGTAAGTTCAAATGTTAAAGTCTCAATTGCTAAATTTTCAATTATCAAAATAGGTTTAGCATCACATTTGAAATATGCTAAGCCTTTTATTTCTATTAAACTGCGATGTCCGACAAAACCGGGCATTTTTCTATGGAACGTGAACGGGTTGCTATATTCCATAATACTCCGGATCAAAATTCCTACCAAATTTGGTTATGGTGTCTCACCATTAAGCGGTGAGCACATGAAGACCGTAAAATGACGGAGCAAACTTTTTTTCAGCTTTATTGTTATTAATCTACCACTTAAAAGATTATAAAATTCCGGGATTTTTAACTACGTAAATATCAACTTTTAACTATTATTAATACTATATTCCATTTATGAAAATAAAGTTTTGTAAGTGACAGTGTATTTATGCCAATAGAAATGTATTTTTAACATTGTTTTGACAAAACAAAAAATTATATAACTCTATTTTGGTATATATTTATTAAAGTAAATGGATAAATCAATATTAAATAAGAACTAAGAAACACTAACATATATCGAACGCTTTCACTTAACAAAAACTAATAAAATTTCATAGGTAATAAACATTTTGATTATAAACAAAAACCTTACATCTTGTAAAAATATTAAAATATCATGTATTTGCCTCTATGAAAAATTTAATTAAATTTAACGAATTAAGTTGTAAAAAAAGCTATAAAAAAGTTAATATTTTGCAAAACAGACTAAATTTTAAATAAATACCATAATTTCATATGTTAGTAAATGATATCCAGTATTACTACAGAAGTCTTAAGGAAAGTGTTGTATTAGAAAAAATTAATGTTACAAACATAAAACAAAGATATCTACATGTAAGAGTTGAGGCTTACAGACCCCTAAACATTAAAATAGTGTCTGAAAAAGAAATTGCTTTTAATACTAATGCGAATTTATTGTTATAAGTAAGTTTTTTTAGAACCTTGTGAACCGTAATAATGTTCCACCACTTTGAATCCAAAATAACCTCGCAAAGCAATTTGTTAGATTGATCTCATTATCTGTTATTTAAAGAAAACTAAATCAAAAATGACAGCTAACTCTTTGATGCAGAATTTTTATTAAACATTTTTTTATACTTTTTTTTATTATTTTGTATTAATTTAGTTCAAAATAAATAGAAAATAATACTATTTAGCAATTTAATAATTTATATTTTTTAAATACAGCTTGAAACATCGCTGTCTTTACCTGCGTGAAATGTAAAATATTTCTTCCAAACAATACTTTTTCAAATTTGCACTTATTCAGATCTAACAGAAACAATTACTTACAAATAAAATGCCTTTAATTTACAAAATCAATCATTAGTAAATTTTTGAATGCGAATGGAAAAAAAAATTCAAACTTCTTTTCTTGGATTTCATATTTTAATACAAATGTAATTCCGGCAATCTAGCAGATTTTTTAGTAACTATTAAACTACTTTCTATAATAAAAAGAAACAAAAATATATTTCGATTTTGAGTTAGAGAGTCTGAAAAAAATACATAAAAGGAACACTGGTGTCCCATTTGCGATAAAGAGTTAAAATATGTATTAGTCTCTTCATTTGTAATATAGTATCTCCTAATAGTAGTTGAAAATAATGAATAAAAAAAGTCTTTTGTCGAAATTTAAAAACAAATTAAGATGTTTTTCCCCTATAAAAACCTTGCTATTTAATTTGCCTCGTAGCAATATTTTTTTGTGTTTGCTACATTTGCATATGAAAGTATAGCACAGTTTTATCCATATACCAAATTTATAGAGAAATTAAGAGTGATAAATTCTAGAGAGAAAAGACAGTACTTCGTCCTTCCTATCCCTCTCTCTCTCCTACCTTCCAAAAACGNAAATAAACAAAAAATGCAGAATACTTAATGTTTAATACTTTAAAAGTTGCACGTTTTTAAAGCGAAATTATATAAATACCTAATTCAAGCATCAGAAAAGAGAAATGTTATTTTTTAAACATTTTTGGAGAATTCCATTTTCTGACAGTATCCAGGATTTGCAGATTATTTGTCATCATAAGGTAAGAATGGGAACAACTACAGCGCACTTATAAAACTGAAGAGCAAAACTGAAAAGATCGAAAATAACAGCAACTTAAAGGAATTTGAAGGCTTATCAAAAAATTTCTGAAAGAAATATCGAAAAATCCTGTGATGATCTGAATATCTAAAATTTAGTATCATTTCACTTATAAAATAACCGACTCAAGATGTTACATTTAAAATATCGCACGTGCAAAATGATCTAAATCAAATAAATTGAAAACCTTTTATCCTATTATTGTTTTATTTCTTTTTATGCACTATTTTTCGGAAATATTTATAAGCCTTTAAACAAATGTTTATAAATATTTCAGAAGAAAATAACTATATTTAAGTTTTGTTAATATAAATATAGCCTAATCCTTAAAATATCGAATTTTTTGTTATGTTCATCATTGTTTTACATTTTTCTTTGTTAAATTATTCTTATTTAACGTGGATTTAATCTATATTCTATTGTTTCAAAGCTTTTTTCCCTGAAATACCATTACATTTAATGGATATAATTTTATTTTCAAAAATAAATATTAAAACATTTGGAAATTATTTTTTAAGACATTTTTAAAGTAAAATATTTTTTAAATCAAAAATCAGAAATTTTAAGAAAGTCAATCGAAATAAATTAAAAGTCAAAACGTCAACGCCTCACTCTTTTACAGTCTCTGCTTCGACTATAGAACTTTTGATTAATAATTTCCTTCGAATTTTTATTTTTAATATTTCAATATTAAAATAAAAAATTAGAAATATTTATATTAATATACATAGCAATATATAGGTTAATATTTATAACACCTGATATACTAAAAACTGTTACGTGAGTTTTATCATATAAATGTCTTATATTTTTAAAATAATTTTCTACTCGAAATTCAGAAATCTTAAAAGAAAGAGGTTTTCAAATGCATTAAAACTCCTCTCTATTTTACTATTTTGTTCGTTTGAAAACATTTATAAAATCAATTCTTTTCAATATTTTGGTTCTTAATATTTTAATATTTAAGCTCATACATAGCACCTCAAATGTTAAAAATTGTTACATAAATTTTAGCATAAAAACATCTGAAATTGATAAAATGTCTTCAAAAACAAAATATATTTCTTTAAATATTTATTTTAATGACACAGATATTTTTTATGCCGATTGTTTATTATTATTTAATTATTAGATTTACTATTTCACTATTAGATTTCTAATGAGCGTTAATTTCATTTTTAGATGTTCATCTTACGTGGGCAGAAATGGTGGTGCACAAACACTTAATTTAGCTCCTGAGTGTCTCCATTTAGGAATTATTATGCACGAATTGATGCATGTTTTAGGATTTGTACACGAGCACACTCGGTATGACAGAGACGAATATGTTAATGTTATCTGGGACAATATTAAAGATGGTTTGTAGGTTTTCTTTACTTATAATTGTTTTTGTAACAGAGTCAAATCTATTTCATTTGATTCGTTGCAGTAATTTTATTAAGAAAGATTTTCCTTCGGGCGTAATCATTCGTAACATATTAATATCATAAGGAATTATGAGAAAAACCGCCATGATTTCTGGTGTAAAATTTGATCAATTGTGTTAATATATTAAGTCTTATTTCTCTTTAATATTGTGTATATTAAGAGTGTAAGTCGGCCTTAAATTAATTATCTTGTCGATTTCTTAACAGCAATTCAGATTTCCAAAAAAAAAAAAAAAAA